GGGCAGTGTCACTGGCCCTCATATGTGGGATCCAAACCGGGGCCCTCTGGCGTCCCAAGCCAGTTCTTAACCATCGCACCACTTGGCTGGCCCAAAAAGTTAGTTTTTGAAACAAAATGCTAATTTGAATCTTAGTTAACTAAAGCCTTACTACATTTATCATAAGCTAGTTGAACATCACTAGCATATAAATGAATGTCAGTGGCATGTTTTTTGAAGTACCTGACATTATTTAGCAGACAGAATATCTAGTTAAATTTTTTAAACATGTATTAGAGGTTGCCTGTCCATACAGAGAAATTTGATCTGAACAGCAAAGTTTGTACATGAAAAAGTATTTCTGTCCTGAGTTTTAACTGAATTTTACAGAAGGAAATTCATATTGAAATAGATGGTATGGTAGAAGAAAATCTTGTAGGGCTGTTCATTAAAACAGTAACTTTAAAGCTTACTAATTTTCTATTTTTATAAAGCCTTACTTATGTTTAAATGTAGTAGTGTCTTATTAAAACCATTATGCTATGCTTTCTCTGGAAGATAATTAAGTATATACAACTTTTATTTATTTATGTTATTAGGAAGACTTATTGACCAACAGTCTAACAAGCTGGCAAAAGAGGAAATGTTGCAAATGATACGGCATGGTGCCACTCATGTTTTTGCTTCTAAAGAAAGTAAGCTGACAGATGAAGACATTACAACTCTTCTGGAAAGAGGAGAAAAGAAGGTTAGTTAAAAAGGCATTTTGTTTTCATGATGGATTGTTTTGAAATCAACATACTTAATAAACATGCTTATTGTAATGGCATTGTTTCAAGTTTATGTTTCAAACTGCATGTTTCAAATGACTCATGTTCTCTGTAAGACTATACATTTATATCTAGGGGTAATTTAGGTTTTTTTGTTTACTTTTTGGAGAGAAAGACTATGCACCAGAGTTTGAAACTGAGTGACCTTTTACTTCATGCTTATTGAAAATAATGTTGGTATTTACTTAAAAGCCAAATAAATTTTGTGGTTAATCACATGTATTAGGACTACATTTTTATGACTTCGGTTTTGCACTGGATTAAAAATTGTGTATTAATACATTGTATTAACTGAAAATCTTCTGTGACCATTTCATGCAACATTAAAGCTTTATTTTTTAAAGTATAATAAGCTGTTTCACAATATTGTTTTATGTTGAATTTACCTTTTTTCACATATTATTATGGATATTTCAAACATAAGCAAAAGTAGACAGAAAAGTGGAAATGAACCCCCATGTACTTATCACCCATTTCCAACAACCATCAACTAATCCTGCCCCCCTTTTTTTCTGTTCTTTTTTAATTAAATTATTTTTTATTATGAAATACACATTTTTTAGAACTAGTTTCAGCTGTACAACACAGTGCAATAGTTATACTTTTTACCCCTCGAAGTGACAACCCCTCTCCCCCAATCCGCCGCCCCATTTCCCCCCAATATCATACATATCTATTACAAATCCCTTGACTACACTCCCACACTATACTCCATGTCCCATGACTATATATATTCAATTATAGTTGACATACAATATTATACAACATCAGCTTCAGGTGTACAGTGCAGTGATCAAGCCTCTTCCGCATCCATGATGCAAGACATGTGACCACCTGACACCCTACAAAATATTCACAACATTATCAACTACATTCCTAGAACTGTCCCCCATGTCCCCATGGCAACACTGCAGCTGCGTATTTATGCTGTCCCGCCCCCTCCCTCTCTCCTTCATCCCCACTCCCCCAACCAACAGCCATCAACTGCACCCCCACATCTCTGAGACCACCTCTGTTCACTTTGCTCGCCCATTCAGTTTTTTAGAGTCCACATATAAGTGAAATCATATGGTATTTATCTTTCTCCGACTGACTTATTTCACTTAACATAATAGTCTCTAAGTCTATCCATATCGTCCCAAATGTTACGATTTCATTCTTCTTTATTAATCCTGCCCCCTTTTAACACCCTCAAATTCATCTTCACCCCTTCCTATATTATTTTAAAGCAAATCTCAGACATATTTCAGCTGTAAATATTTCATTGTGTATGTCTAAAATATAAGAAGTGTTTTTTTTTTTTTTTGCTGAGCCATCCTGCCACCTGTTGGCAGCTCAGCTCAGGCTGGGAATCAAACTGGCAACCCTGTTGCTCAGAGCTCACACTGTTGCGCGAGCTCTTAACCAACTGAGACATTCAGCTGGCTCCAAGAAGTCTTTTTAGAAGCAATCATTATAGCATTGTCCCACCTGAAAAACCCCAGTAATTCTTTAATACATCAAATATCCAGTTAGTATTCAAATTTTCAATTGTTTCATAAGTAGCTATACTTTTTTATAAAAAATTTTGTAAATCTGAATGCACATAAGATCCACACATTGCCATTGATTGACATGTCATCTATATATTTTTTAATCTGTAGGTTCTCCCTCCATTTAAGTGTTTTTTCCCTTGTAATTTATTTGGTGTAGAAACTGGGTTGTTTGCCTTTTGAATTGCTCACAGTTTGGATTTTGCTGATTCCATCCCCATGGGTATTTTATTATATTCACTTATTTACTATATTTTATGTAAATTGGTTGAATTTACTTTTCAGACCACTTTTTGTTTCTGAGGTTTTATACACACACACACACACACACACACACACATTTACATTACATTACATCTCTAGGACTTATTTATTTTGTAACTGACCCCATACCTCAAAATGGCAACTACCAATTTGGTCTCTGTTTCTATGAGCTTGTTTATTTTTTTTAGATTCCACATAACAGTGAGATCATATGGTGTATTTGTCTTTCTTTGTCTGACTTACTGCACTTAGCATAATGTCCTCAAGGTCCATCTATGTTGTCGAAAATGGCAGGCTTTCCTTCTTTTTATGGCTGATTAATATTCCATATATATATACATATATTCATTCATCCACTGATGGACGCTTCACTTGTTTCCATGTCTCAGGTATTGTAAATAATGCTAAGATCAACATGGGGATGCAGATACCTTTTTGAGTTATTGTCTTTGTTCCCTTTGAAGAAATACCCAGAAATGGAATTGCTGGATCATATGGTAGTTTTTAAAATTTTTTTGAGGAACCTCTATACTGTTTTCCATAGTGACTGCCCAGTTTACATTCCCACCAACATTGCACAAGGGTTCCCTTTTCTCCATATCCTCACCAATACTTGTTATTTCTAGTTGTTGATAATAGTCATTCTTACAGGTGTGAGGTGATATCTTATTGTGGTTTTGATTTACATTACCCTGATGATTAGTGGTGTTGAGCATCTTTTCATGTATCTTGAATTTTGAGAAATCTTATGTTAGTATGTTTCATATTAGTATGCAAAACGTATTGTTTAATCCAAGTTTGCCTTTATTTTAGCATTAGCTATTTTTGTTAAGATTTTATTGGGGAAATGGGGAAGGGGAACAGTGTTGGGGAATTGAGGATGGGATAGAGCCAAGTTGTTGTTCTTGAATCTTAGTTGTGGAGGGCACAGCTAGCTCAGCTCCAAATCCAGTCGCCATCTGGCTGCCCAGCTCAAGGTGCCATATTCAATCCTAGTTGCGGGTGGGCGTACCCCACCATCCCATGTGGGAGTCGAACTGGAAACCTTGGTGTTAGGAGCACGTGCTCTCACTAGCTGAGCCATCCTGCCACCTGTTGACAGCTCAGCAGCAACCCTGCTCGGGCACAGCATCACTGGCTCATGTGGGAATCAAACCGGTGACCTGTTACTGAGAGCTCATGCTCTTAACCAACCCAGCCACTTTGCTGGCCCTAGCATTAGCTATTTGACCAGTTAAAATTATGCAATAGAAATTATAATATGGCTACATCTTCAAAGATAAAATATTTTAAAGAAGGCCTAAGTGAAGAATAGTTTGGAAGAAACATTTAAGTATTTAAAATACTTGGGGTAAGTTAAATTTATTGTATATTCAAGTTTGATGTCAGCATTGCATTCTTACCTTGTAGATGAACAGATTGGATATTTCATGTCAAACTTGACTTTTAAAGAGATACAGATTCCTCACATAATTATAAATGATTCAGTGATAATTTTCTTGTTTCAATGCATTCAACTTTAGACTGCAGAGATGAATGAACGCTTGCAGAAAATGGGAGAGCCTTCTCTGAGACATTTTAGAATGGACAATGAACAAAGTTTGTACAAGTTTGAAGGAGAAGATTACAGGGAAAAACAGAAGGTAACTTTTTATTCTCAACCATTAGACTCTTATTTCTTCCCATAGCAATTACTAAAAAAAATAACAAAACCAAACGCTGGCACTCTGCTATAGAGTGAAATTTGATGTAGGTCAGAAGATCGCATGTAAGGACCATCTTTAATATATTTTGCTCGTTTATTATCATCATCATCATCATCATTCTTGCTGTTGCTGCTACCACTATTTTGTTTTTGAGGAGCAGTATAGGATTGTGGTTGAATTCCTGGATTCTGAAGCCAAATTCACAAATCTATCACTAATTAAGTGATTTTGAGTACTCAGTTCTCTCACATCAAATGGAAGTTATAGTAATTACATAATAGAATGATTTCTGAGAATTGAATTAGTTAATATTCATAAAGTTATTCAAACAATGTGTGATGCTTAATAACTATTGGTAATATTATTATTGACATGTAGTTACTTAAATGCTAGAAGGACTTTGTTAAAGGTGGTCTCATTTATGAAACAATGTCTTGTAATATACTGCATGAACAGCAAGGTCCTTTGAAGAAATGGGAGTTTTATTTAGTTTGTTTTAACTGAAATTGTGGCTGTAATTTTTAAAACTTTATATTTTGAAATGACTTTAGACTTTGTTGCAAAAAATAGTACAGAGTTCACATATATCTTTCACTCAGCTTTCCCTAGTGTTAACAACTTACACAATCACAGCGTAATAATGATCAAATCCAGAAAATTAACACGTTTTTTTCTAATGTCTTTTCCATTTTTCAGGGGATACGGTCTAGGACCTCAAATTGCAATTTTTAAAGCAGAGCTTTATTTTAAAGAGCAATTTTAGGTTTACAGCAAATTAAGCAGAAAATACAGAGTTCCCATATTCCTCCTGCCCCCACACAAACCCAGCCTCCTCCACTGTCAGCCTACCCTACCAGAGTGGTATCTATTGAACCTACATTGACACATCATTATCATTGGAAGTCCATCGTTTATGTTAGGGATCACTTTTGTTGTACATTCTATGGTTTAGATAAATGTATGTATCCACCATAACATTATCATACAGAATAATTTCACTGCCCTAAAAATCCACCGTGCTCTGCCTATTCACCCCACTCTCCCCTCAACCCCTGCGACAACTGATCTATGTACTTTCTCCATAGCTTTGCCTTTTCCAGAATGTCATGTAGTTGGAATCATGCAGTATGTAGCCTTTTCAGATTGGCTTCTTTCACTTAGCAATATGCATGTAAGGTTCCCTCATGTCTTTTCATAGTTTCATAGCTCATTTCTTTTTAGTACCAAGTAATATTCCGTTGTCTGGATGTACCACAGTTTATTTACCCATTTACCTACTGAAGGACATCTTGGTTGCTTTCAAGTTTTGGCAATTACAAATAAAGCTGCCATAAACATCAATGTACAGGTTTTTGTGTGGATACAGATTTTCAGCTCCTTTGGGTTAATACCAAGGAGTGTGAATGCTGGATCATATAAAAAACTGTCAGTCTGTCTTCCAAAGTGGCTGTATCATTTTGATTCTCATGAGCAATGAATGAGAGTTCCTGTTGCTCCAGCATTTGGTGTTGCCAGTGTTCTGGGTTTTTGCCATTCTAATAGGTGTGTGGTGGTATCTAATTTTAATTTGCATTTCCCTGATGACATATGATGTGGAGCATCTATTCATTTGCTTGTTTACATCTGTATGTTTTCTTTGGGAAGGTGTCTGTTCATATCTTTTGCCCATTTTAAAATCAGATTGGTTATTTTCTTATTGTTGAGTTTTGAGAGTTCTTTGTATATTTTGGATAACAGTCCTGTATCATATGTGTCTTTTGCAAATACTTTCTCCCAATCTGTGGCTTGTCTTCTCATTCTCTTGACCCACATTGCATTTTTGTTGCTGTGTTTCCTTACTGTCTTGTAATCTGCGATAGTTCTTCGTCATTTTTGTCTTTCATGACCTTGATACTTTTAAAGAGTATTGGTCAGTTATTTTGTAGTTTGTCTCTCACTTTGGGTTTGTCTGACATTTTCTCATGATTTGATTGAAACTATATGAATATATTTTTGGCAAGAATGCCATGGAAGGGATGTTATGTCCTCAGTATGTCACACCAGGAAACACATGTTGTTGCTATATCTTATTACAAGGGATGTTAATCTTGATCACTGAGTTGCGGTGGTGTCTCTTGGGTTTCTGCACTGTAGGGTTACCATTTTTTCCCTTTGTATTGATAAATATCTTGGGAGGAGATACCCTTCAAACCTTCACCCACTGATTTTAGCATCTATTGGTGGAGTTTGCCTGCAATAGTTATTATTGTAGTGTTTGCCTAATGATAATTTTTTTATTTCCTTTATTCCATCTACATTTATTGGGATTTTTTTCTGTAAGGAAAAGCTGTCCCTTCTCATTTATTTATATGCTCGTTTATTTATATCAACATGGACTAACGAATAGTTTATTTTTTGAGTTACACAGTTTTATCATTTGTTGCTCAAATTGTTGTATAAAACTGCTGTGTTTTTTAACTGACAGAAATGAATTTTATTAAAATAAAAAGAGCTTATTCTTGGGTATTGATTTTACTGAAAAATGAGAAGTGAGCCATTTTAGTTTGCAGTGCAACTAGTATAATGCAAATGCTTTGTTGCTATCATTTTTTTTCCTGGTACTTTTGAGTGTCTTGACTTAAATCTCTAGTTATATCTGTAGCCTTAATTCTGGCTGTTTACATTTTATTGTGATGAGATGCAGGTGATGGCCTATATTATAGGGTGGAAATTGCCTTCCTAACATGCTTTTTAGATCTCATTATGTGATACGAATTTGATAAATTTTACAGTTATTCCTGTGGGCTTACTGGTATTAAGTGTTTGATAAAGCAGAAAAAATATCAGGGCTTCTAATTCTAGCAAAATAATGATATACAGATATAGAGAAAGGTTAATAATGATGACTTGTATTTTTATAATTGAATGTCTGACAAATCAGAAATTTTTCTGAATATTCTGATTTGAGATTCTATTTAAATTCTGTTGTTTCATATTTCCTAGATAGGATCTTAAAGTAGGTTCATATTATCCTTTGAAGAGAATTGAAAACCTGCAGAAAGGTTGTTTATACATAAATCATGAGAATTACAGAGTGAGGTAGATTTTTATATATGGTTTGTGAACCAGTTACATTAATTTACAACCACTCCTGGTAAATTCAGTCATAACGATTGACATTGATGCTGAATAAATTAACCCGAATTAGTTTGTATTAATGCACTCTTGTCTAAAACAAATGAATTCAGGGCCGGCCGAGTGGCGCGATGGTTAAGGGCTGGCTTGGGACGCCAGAGGGCCCCGGTTCGGATCCCACATATGAGGGCCAATTACACTGCCCTCCACAGCTAAGATGCTGAACAACAGCTCAACCTGGAGCTGGGCTGC